TTTCATAAACCCATGCTGACTGGGCCTGATCACCTGGTTGTCCCGCACATGCCATGTGATGGCACTCAAGATGATCTGCTCCATTACCTTCCCTGGCACCGAGGTCAGGCTGACAGGCCTGTAGTTCCCTGGGTCCTCCTTCGGGCCTTTCTTGTAGATGGGCGTCACATTTGCCAGCCTCCAGACAACTGGGACCTCCCCGTTTCACCAGGACTGCTGATAAAGGATTGAAAGGGCCTTGGGGAGCACTTCTGCCAGCTCTCTCAGTGCCCTTGGGTGGCCCCATCTGGCCCCACGGAGCTGTGTGTGCCTAAGTGGTGTAGCAGGTCACTAACCATTTCCCCTTGGATGAAGGGGGCTTCATTCTGCTCCCCATCCCTGCCTTCCAGCTCAGGGCCTAGGTGTGTGGCAAACAACTGGTCTGACTGTTACAGACTGAGGCAAAGAAGGCATTAAGTACCTCAGCCTTTTTCCTCATCCTTTGTCACTATGTTTCCCCCCCGCATCCAATAAAGGATGAATATTCTCCTTAGCCCTCCTTTTGTTGCTGATGTATTTATAGAAACATTTTTATTGTCTTTTACAACAGTAGCCAGATTAAGTTCTACTTGGGTTTTGGCCCTTCTAATTTCCCCCCTGTATAACCTCATGATATCCTTGTGGTCCTCCTGAGATGCCTGCCCCTTCTTACAAAGCTCATAAGCTCTCCTTTTTTTCCCCCCAAGTTCCAGCCAAAGCTCTCTGTTCAGACAGGCCAGTCTTATTCCCCGCTGGCTTGTCTTTCAGCACATGAGGACGGCCTGCTTCTGCACCTTTAAGATTTCCTTCTTGAAGAATGTCCAGCCTTCATGGACTTCTTTGCCCTTTAGAACTACTTCCCAAAGAATTCTGTCAACGAGGCTCCTAAACAGGCCAAAGTCTGCCCTCTGGAAGTCCAAGGTGGCAGTTCTGCTGACCCTGCTCCTTACTTCTTCAAGAATCAAGAATTCTATAATTTCATGATCCCTGTGCCCCAGGCGTCTTCCAGCTATCACATCACCCACAAGGCCTTCTCTGTTCACAAACAGGTCCAGCGGGGTGCCTTCCCTAGTTGGTTCACTCACCAGCTATGCCAGGAACTTATCTTCCACACACTCCAGGAACCTCCTAGACTCTTTCCTCTCTGTTGTATTTCCAGCAGACATCTGGTAAGTTGAAGGCCCCCAGGAGAACAAGGGCTAGCGATCGTGAAACTTCTCCCAGCTGCTCATAGAGTATTTCATCTGCCTCTTCATTCTGGTTGGCCTGTCTATAACAGACTCCCACCATGATATCTGCCTTGTTGGCCTTCCCCCTGATTTTTACCCATAAACAGTCAACCATATCATCACCATCATTAAGCTCTAAACAGTCAAAACACTCCCTAACATCCAGGGCTACCCCACTGCCTCTCCTTCTTTGACTATCCCTTCTGAAGCGTTTATAGCCATCCATCGCAGCACTCCTGTTGTGTGAGTCATCCCACCATGTTTCCATGATGGCAACTATATCATAGTTTTCCTGCTGCACAAGGGCTTCCAGCTCCTCTTGTTTGTTGCCCACGCTGCGTGCATTGGTGTAGATGCACTTCAGTGGGGCAGAGGAAAAGCCCTAATTCCTCTGTGACCATTCTCAGGTGCTTCTGTGGTTTCTAACACATCAATAACACTTGCATCTTTGCTGCTGCATGGATCTCCATCCACTACCTCCACTGAGACAGCAGACTGAAGGACCTCACTAGCACACCATCCCTCAAACACTGGCATGCTGCCCCCAGGCTTATGTCTAGTGAGCCTGGGTTTATCCCTTTCCCCCTTCAAATCTAGTTTAAAGCTCTTTCAATGACCCTTGCTAACTCCTGGGCAAAGATCCTCTTCCCCCTTTGAGACAGGTATATCCCATTGGCCTCCAGCAGGCCTGGTGTCATGTAGACTGACCTGTGATCAAAACCCCAAAATTTCTGCCAGTGACACTAGGCTCAGAGCCGGGTATTGATCTGCTGGCTCTTCTTGTTTCTTCCCTCATCATTTCCTTGCAACTGGAAGGACAGAGGAGAACACTACTTGTGCTCCTGATGCCTTAAACAGGCATCCCAAGACTCTGGTCTCTCTTGATTGCCCTCAGACTTCTAGTTGCAACTTCATCACTGACTACCTGAGAAATCAATGGGTAGTAATCTGAGGGCCGTACCAGGGTAGGAAGTTTTCTTTTCACATCTTTTACCCAGGCCTCAGGGAGGCATCAGACTTCCTTAAGAAGTGGGTCCAGTCTGCATATTGGGCCTTCTGTTCCTTTTGGAAGGGAGTGTCCTATGACAATGACCTGTCTTTTTTTCTTTATGGAAGCAGTTTTGACGCAGGCCGACTTAACCTTGGCGACACCTCCAAGCTAGATGAACCACTTACTGATGATAAGCTTCTGACATGCACTATTTCCCTTCTGTCCACAAAATCTGTTGACCCCAACACTATTTTTTTAAAGAAAACTAAATTGATTTTACCTATTTTTAACAAATCCAAAGGGATTGTTACTCATCTCCTTGTCTTCTAGGCTATGGCAAGATATAATGCAACTAAGGAAAATATTTAGTTTCCTAAACCAAAAAAATTACAACTATCATAACAGTAAATTACATTGTACCTCTAAAAGTTTACAGTAACCTATGATAGGCTGAATGAGATTCTATTACATTTAAAAGTTAATTAAGTACATCTATCTACATTTAATCTACCTTGTCAAACTCCAGCCCTCCTAGGTTTTGCTGTCCTTGCTTCACATACCTGATTTTAAACAGAAAATGCTCTAGACAGGGAAGAATTCATCTTTGCGGAGAGAAAACTTGCAGCAAAAGTGCTATATAAAATACTGTGCAATTACACAACAAAGCCAAAGATCAAGCGTTGAATTTTTTACCTATGAATTCACTTCCCCTTAATGTTAACTGAAGTCACCCGAATAAAATAATACTATAAAACCCACAGCTCTATGTGAGGGCCAGATCTGCCCAAGTTCAGCAAGACTTCACAACTTATAAAGCTAAACAACATTTAAATCACAATACCAAGATAGCGTTTCAAGTACTCAAGTTTGATTCAGAACGGTCCCATGTTCAGTTACACCTCTAGACATATTTATTCCATTAGTCTCTGAACTGCACATAATAAAACACAATACACACAGGAACCATAAAATGGCTATAGCATGTTGTAGAAAGTACACAGGCTCTTTCCCAAGAAATGTCTGCTGATGCTAAACACCCACACTGCCCATAGGATCTTGACCCCTATTTCATTCTTGCAACCTGTTGTGCCCTATTTTACCATGTCAAAGCTAGGTGAAGATGGCAGTAAGACGTGTTTCTCACCCACCATCAAGTTTTACAAACGCATATGACTACAGTTCTGCAAAACAAGAAATATGAAGATGTGCAAAGCCCATTACAGTTTAATAACTGACTTGTTCTCTTACCTGGCAACAGTTTGGCTGCCACCAACTGAGCTTGAAATAAAACACATAATCCAAGAAATACCATCTGAATTGAGTACATTTACATATAAATGTATATATGCACACATACAATTTTCAGCCACTTAACTGTAATTCTAATACTACGCAAACAACTTCACTACAATCAATATAATAAAATGAGCAAGTCTAGTTCCCTGACAAGTATATCTGAAAAGCAAGTATTTTTGCAAAAACTTGCTTTTATCTTCAGGGCTTTTTAAAATTCAGCCCCATTCCTTAACATATTTTACAAGCTAAGGCTCATATATGAACCTTTTTTCCTGGTTTCTAAGAATCACAAACAAAAAGGTTTTATTACAGAGAATGACATTAAACATTGAAGTACCAGTGAAACACATGTGCTATATGCCTAATTTTCAAATAATCTAGCTGTGGAATTTTTCACTGTAAATATTCATTATGCATTCCAAGATGTATTTTCTCATGGTAGATCCTAATTGATCCTCGGCAGTCCTTTTATAAAACAACTGCTCTCAGATAACTGGGTCAAATTGATATTTTTACAAGTGTCTAAACCCAAATTTGCACAGAAACGTTACATTCCTTAGCATAAACATGCGAACTGTCTACAGTAATATATTTGAGGATGGACTCTGCTCTTCTATTTCTATTTAAAATAATTGCACAAACATTTGGAAAAGCAGAGCAGATAATTGACTATCCAAATATTTCTCCTAGAAAACATATGCAGAAAATGTAAACACACAACTAACTTGGCAGTCGCTGCATGTACCCAAGACCAGCCTGGTCTGAAGAAAGCATTTCCATACTCAAGGACATTGTCCATCTTCCCATGTGGTTTACTTGGAATAACCCATGTCTTCACTAGGCAAGGAAGAGGCACTTCAACTACCTGTGGCATGCAACAAATGCCCACACAAGAAGGGTTGGCTGTCTCAGAGGCATAATGCAGGTGGATAAATCCAAGAAGTGCAATTCCCTATACTCCAATCAGGTACAGGCCCTGGAAAGTCCTCCAAAGGACCCAGAATTCTTTACTATCCGTGCTTACTATAAATTAAGAGAGATCACCTTTTTCAAGCCAAAGGTAATAGTCCTCCAAAGGACCCAGAATTCTTTACTATCCATGCTTACTATAAGAGAGATCACCTTTTTCAAGCCAAAGGTAACCCTTCTTCATGCAGTAAGACCTAAGCAGGTGTTGTTCTCCACAAAGAAGGTCCTTCTCATCTGAAGCAGCCTGTGCTATGATTGAATGCTATGGAAACAGGTCCTTTTTTTGCTTTGCAGGGTGGACTTTTACTGCTGGAAGGTTCTGATGTGTTCCTCTGAAGTGATGCATGATCCCAGACAAAAAGACAAACTTGTGAGTAGAAGGCATAAAACAGGACATAAGTCTTTCCAGGGCCATTACCATCTTATTCCAAGTGGGTTTTTATCAGAGCAAACTGCAGATTGTAATTCACAGCTGTTTTTTTCAGATTTCTCTCCACATAACCAAAACCTGCTCAAACAGTGCAGAACAGGTCCATAATGGTACCTGCCAGTCCGGCACACACAAAGCCAACACTAGCATCGCCACTCCACTGTCACTCAATAGGCAAGGATAGAGTTAGAAGCTCGAGAAATGCTCCAGTGAGGTGTTCAAAGTAACACATTATTCTTGTGCACACAACTGGCATGGATTAAATGACCATTCAGTGCCTAACTAATTAGCAAGACTTCCACTCCGCTGTGACCTGCAACTCTCCTCTGATGTGATTTACTGTGTAATGCAGAGTCCCACTGAAGTGAATAGGGCCTACCTGGAGATTTAAAGATACACACAAACGTGGTTTTGATTCAATCTTGTTACTTATTATTAAATATTAATATCAGTAAAGACTATTTTTGGTACTGTGGTTTTGTAGAGTCAGACTGCAATGCATTATTAATGTTGTTGTACCGAAAAGGAGATGACTTTCAGGCCTTCACAGCTGGATTTTAGGTGTTTAATTTCCACTGAAATTCAGTGGGAGACAGAAGACTAACTACTGTTGGCACCTCTGGAAACTCCCTCGAACTTACAACACATTTTTCTTCTCTTCAAATACAGGTACGGGGCATTTTGACACTCACACAAGACCCCAAGATGCAGTCTTACAAATTCTGGGGGTTTTAAAACTGTAAAACTACATGTCTTTCTACACACTTTACAAACATACCAGCTTGAGGAGTGCCTACCCTACTGTCTCTTTGAAGATGTGCCTCTACATACACAATGTTACCAGCTCAGGTTTATCACAAGTGTCTCTCTCTCTCTCTCTCTCTGTATTTCTCATTTTAAGATCCAGCAGCCTAGTCCTGAAATCATAAGTAGTTTTATTGTTTCATTTTTAAATAACAGGTTTGGTGTTTTGTTTTACATTTAATCTGTCTCGTCCATCCTGTGACACTATATGATTAATTAATTCGATACTATATTTTTCCCCACCAGGACTGTAAATAGGCCATAACCTTGGGAAAGCAGTATTCTGCTAATAATTCCTACAAGTAAATCATCACCATTCTTCAAAAAAATTGCAGTAATTCCCAATTTGAAAAGCATCCCCACAGGTTATCAGTGTTTTAAAAATCTTCTCTGCCTCAAACTTCAAATTCTCCCATTTTCAGGCAAATATTGTACTCATTCTCTACAGCGTGCAAAACCAGATTGGCTCTGCAGTTTTAACTAGCACCTCCTTCAACCCTGGGCCGCTGTGCACAGCGAGTCGCTGCAAAAGCTACTTTTATTGACAGGTATCTCCCCCCTCTAGGCATCCCCACATCCTTTCTTTTTAAGGCTACAATGGTGAAGCTGGGTGGGAAAACGCTCGGCCGCTTTGTTTCAGGTCCGGGCAGCATCTTGCTTTCCCACAACAGGTAGGCACAAGCAGAGAGTGCTGCTGAATGCAGGAGACCACGCCAGAGGCTCAAACCACTAGTTATTGCTGCCGTCTCAGGCACGGCATATTTTCTACTGACCGTGGCTCTTTGCCAAGCTCTAATTAAGACACTTCAGTATGTCAGAGAGTTAACCCTCTGCTGCACCTACCCTCTCCAGAAGCAGCCAAGGCATACGCATCTTCTGCCTAGAAATACCTGAGCAGCTCTTACGTTGCCGGTACTGTGAGGGCTCCAAGCCCTCCACGTTTTTACGTCGCTGATTCTGTAAATGAAGATGAATTAACCAGGCAGTTGGCACTATGACTTTTAGCAGCATTTCTAAAATTGAGTTAAGTATTTGGTGTGTACTGCCATGTCTATTTTCCTTCAAAGAAAAACAGACGGATCTCAAATTATCAAAGAGCAGAATAGGCTGCTGAAAATTCTTTACTAACCAAATAGTTTTCTGTTTCATTCTTGAACGCTGCAGAGCAGCAGTTTTGTCATTATGGTGATGAGGAATTCTGAAGGAGCCAGAGCTGCCTTTCCATTTTACAAGGGATCAAATATAAACCCTACATTTGCTGATGTATCTGTCGGTCTCACACAAAGAGCCACCACCACCAAACTGAATGAGGGGAAGCTGTGACAATAGTCAGAGAGGGTAAAAGGAAGCCCATGTCGAGGCTTGTCTCGATTGTAATCTGTATTTTCTTGTTCCAAAACCCTTTTTAACCACTGCATCCTGCCTATACACGGAAATCTTCCCTAATGAAAAGCGATGTAAGTCACAGTATGACTGAGAGATGAGCTAAGTTAATTTCATTCTAGTAACTGGGGGGGGAAGCTTAACTTGAATATGAAAAACAACTACATGCAATAAAACCAATGGGAAAAACAAACTGTTACAACTTTCAAGTGTTACAAAATCAGAAAATTTAGTTGACTAGCCAATTTCCCTCATATTGCAGAGTATAACAAGACATTTTGTAATGGAGGCTTTGATTACTTTGGGGCCATAAATCTGGATTTTACACAGTCTAAATGAGGTAATTTGTAATCCAACCCCACTTCTTTGCTCTTACTGGGCATTTGCCCCCATGGCAGGAAAAACAGAGCTGTCTTCCAAAGCCATTACTGATCTGATCTCAGTTACAGAGGTTTCCTTTCTTGAAGTGAAATTCTCTGCTTTAGACAGTATGTTAACAACTAAAATACCTGATCCTACCTATAGCTGTGTTTATGTAAAGCAACATCCAAGCTCTTCATTTCAACACATCCAGAAAACTACGCATTACCTGGACATGCTCATAATGTTGTCTCAGTATTAGATAATATTGTACATTTTTAAACCAAAATAAATAAGCTCCCTAAGGTGCTTTAAATTAATTATTTTATTTTTTAAAGTTAGCAAAAATCATTTCAAATGTTTTGTTCTATTCCAGTTTTCAGCTGAGATAAACACACATTTTTAACAATTCTTCTTATGAACATTTTTCAGGTTTAACATTCAGTTGTTTGTATTGGGAGCTCACAGAACCAGGAATGCTTTCCCACAGGCTGTACGAAGACAAATCCTAAAAGGAGCAGTGGTGACAGGTTAGCCTTCATCTGTAGGTACTGT